TTTATTAAATATTTTAATATTTAAATTTGAAATTAATCATCTAAACTTTGAGTAAAACTCATCCTCTCGTAACCATTTGGCGAGAGTGATGAACTCAAGAATAATTTTGGTTAACCAAGAGCAAATATCCAGTGAAAATATCAATCATATTCATTCTCAAATAATTTCATGTCAGTAAGGACATGACATTTATCCTCTAACCGTTGCTTGGTCAGATGACTCCACAAAATCAGTAGTTAGACAAACAACTATATGCGATAAACGGCTATTATTGTTCCTCTTATATGTGATTTGGTCAAATGGCCCCACAAAGAACCTGTGGCTTGGCCAGGATGGCTCCATGTGGTAAACGATTATGACCACAATCCTCTGACCTAGTGGTTTGGTCGATGACTTCATTGTATTACGATCATGGCCAAAAGCTCGTACGTTCCCTAATGGCCAAGTTACCATTGAGTAATGAATTATAGTGTATGATTGATATGACACAAAGCCCTCTGTTGGCTAAGGTCAACTTGAATTTGTCCATTAGACAAATACTTACCCCAAGTCTATAAAGTACCCTTGTCCGAAGAACCGATGGTTGCCAGCACAAATCCTTCAGTCAGGTTGAGTTGACTACCTCTTCTAACTAAGTGGACCAGAGACCATAATGACTTGGGATGACAAAATCATAGAATCTTGATCATGTTAATAATAATTCCTCCACCATCTGCTCGAAGTACATGCTCGAAGTACATGGTGACAAATTTTAATTTTAAATTCTAAATATGTCACTACTATATGCTTGATACTAAGTATCTATTTAACGACTAGTCATAATCGAAAGTGCTCTCTCATTATCAGGAGAGGTAATTAACTATAGGGGCTGGTGCCTATAGGAAACCATAACTCAAATCTTAAAGTATTCGTTAAGAGGGCGTAATCTTTGGATAGTGTTTTATCTCTGTATAATTTGCCTTCCGAAAATTTCCCCGAAATATTATCTATTAAAACTCTCCCCAAATATACTCAAAGAGGCCGGGGCCCTAAATCTCAATATTTTTGGAGCCCGCATTTACTTGCTTACAAGGGTATTAATATGCACTTGAAACGAAGAAAGGGTATTCCAGTTATCGCTTTATAATATATGAGTCTATAAAAGCGAATATGACTGTCTTCACCAAGGCTAAGTGAAGAATGTGTATCAAAACACAACAACATCAAGCCTTTATCCCACTACGTGGGTCGGCTACATGAATCCTTTTTCTCCATTATGTCCTATTAAAGGTCAAATTCTCGTTTAAATCTAATAAAGAAAGGTCATTCCTAATATTTTCTAACCAAGTCTTTTTAGGTCTGCCTCTACCTCTCTTAACATAAGTCAAATCTAATACCTCTACTCTCCTAACTGGGTCATTAGAAGGCCGTCGTTTTATGTGACCAAACCATCTAAGGCGACTCTCTCTAATCTTATCTTCTACTGGAGCTACTCCAACCTTTTCACGTATATGCTCACTTCGTATCCTATCTCTAAGGGTAAAGCCACTCATCACCTGAGCATCCTCATCTCTGCCACACTTAACTTAGTATTATGCTTCTCTTTTAATGGCCAACATTCAGCACCATAAAGCATTGCAGGCCTCACTACCATCTTATAGAATTTTCCCTTAAGTTTGAGGGGTACATTTCTATCACATAACAAGCCCGATGCATTCCGCCACTTCAACCATCCAACTTGAATTCTGCTGATAATATCCCCATCTATTTCACCATCACCATGAACAATTGATCCAAGATATCTAAAACGGGTACTCTTATTAATGACTTGATCGCCCAAAGTCACAATCCCCTCACTAGGACTATTACTGCTAAAATTACACTCCATATATTCCGTTTTAGATCTACTCAAGCGAAAACCTTTAGACTCTAAGGTTGACCTCCATAATTCAAGTTTACCTTCAACTCCCTCTCTAGTCTTATCAACAAGAAGAATATCATCAGCAAAAAGAATACACCAAGGTACATCCTCTTGCAAATGTCTAGTGAGAACATCCATGACTAAAGCAAAAAGATATGGGCTTAAGGCTGATCCTTGATGTAACCCAACCGAAATAAGGAAATACTTAGTCAATCCACCTTGTGTTTGAACACAAGTAATAGCTCCTGCATACATATCTTTAATGATTTAAATATAAGCATTATTGACTCCTTTCTTATCAAGAACTCTCCATAGCACTTCTCTTGGAACTTTATCATATGCTTTTTCTAAATCAATAAATATCATATGTAGATCCTCCTTATTTCCTCTATATTTTTCCATCAAACCTCTGAATAAATGTATGGCTTCCATAGTCGACCTACCCGGCATAAATCCAAATTGATTTTGAGAAACATTAGTATCACACCACAACCTA